AAAAAAAAAAAAAAAAAAAAATTTTAATCAGGATCAAAAGCACCTTATAAAAATGACAAATCCCTGTATAAATATAGGAGATTAAGATGAGGCTTGCCAAATCCTCTATAAAGCTGATAGCTGTTATTTTTTAGAGGAAGGCAGCAGAGTATAGTGGAAATTACTTGGGCTTTGAAGCCAGACACCCCAAGTTCAAATCTCCACTTGACCACTACCCAGCATAAAGCACTTGGTTCGTGAGAGGCATGCAGTGGTACTTATTAGTTGTATTAACAGTTAAAAATAACAGTAGTTGGGTGGCTCATGCCTGTAGTCCCAGCTACTTGGGACTCTGAGGCAGGAGGATTGCTTGAGGCCAGGAGTTCAAGGCCAGCCTGGGCAACATAATGAGACCCTGTCATTTAAAAAGTAAAAATAATGACCAGGTGTGGTGGCTCACACCTGTAATCCCAGCACTTTGGGAGGCCAAAGCAGGTGGATCACCTGATGTCAGGAGTTCAAGACCAGCCTAGCAAACATAGTGAAACCCCATCTCTACTAAAAATAACAAAAATTAGTTGGGCATGGTGGCCAGTACCTGTAATCCCAGCTGTTCAGGAGGCTGAGGCACAAGAATCGCTTGAACCCAGGAGATTTAAGTTGCAGTGGGCTGAGATCGTGCCACTGCACTTCAGCCTGAGCAACAGAGTGAGACTCCATCTCAAAAAAATAAAAGAGAGCATAGTGGCTCAGGCCTGTGGTCCCAGCACTTGGAGGCCGAGGTGGGTGGATCACCTGAGGTCAGGAGTTCGAGACCAGCCTGGCCAACGTGGTGAAGCCATCTCTACTGGGAATGCAGAGGTTGGCCAGGTGTGGTTGCGCATGCCTGTGGTCTCGGCTGCTCAGGAGGCTGAGGTGGGAGAATTGCTTGGACCCTGGAGGCGGACATTGCAATGAGCCGGGATCATGCCACTGCAATCCAGCCTGGGTAGCAGAGCAAGACTCCGTCTCCAAAAAAAAAAGAGAGGGGTTCTCGCTTTGTTGCCCAGGCTGGTCTTGAACTCCTGGGCTTCAGTGATCCTCCTTCCTTGGCCTCACAAAGTTCAGGGATTATAATATTGAGCCACTATCCCCAGCTTTTCAAGACTTATTTTCATGGCTTCGAACACTTTTTTTTTTTTCTAGACAGAGTCTCACTCTGTCACCAGGCTGGAGTACAGTGGTGCAATCTCAGCTCACTGCAACCTCTGCCTCCTGGTTTCAAGCAATTCTCCTGCCTCAGCCTCCCAAGTAGCTGGGATTACAGGCACACACCACCACATCCAGCTAATTTTTGTATTTTTAGTAGAGATGGGATTTTATCATGTTGGCCAGGATGGTCTCAATCTCTTGACCTTGTGATCCGCCTCCCTCAGCCTCCAAAGTGCTGGGATTACAGGCATGAGCCACTACGTCTGGCGGCTTTGAATAAATTATTAACTTCTGTGCCTCAGTTTCCTCATCTGTACATTGGGGATAATAATTTTATCTACTTAATAAAGGAGATACTTTTTTTATGAAGGTCAAAGTAACAATATTTGTGGGGGTTTTGGGTTTTCATTTTGTTTTGTTTTTAGGGAGAATAGATACTTTGGTCTCACTCTGTTGTCCAGGCTGGAGTGCAGTAGCACAGTCATAGCTCACTGCAACCTTGAACCTTTGGGCTCAAGGGATTCCCTCACCTCAGCCTCCCGAGTAGCTGGGGATGCAGGGGCGCACCACCACATCCAGCTAATTCTTTAATTTTCTGTAGAGACGGCTTCTCACTATGTTTCGCTGCTATTCTTAAACTCTTGGCCTCAAGTGGTCCTCACACCTTGACCTCCCAAAGTGCTAGAATTACAGACATGAGCCACCTCACTCAGCCTGGTGCTTTAATAAAAGTAAAATGCTTAGAACAAAGCCAGGCGTACAGTAAGCCCTTAAACCTTAAGTATGATCTTGACCATCTTTCTTTGGCAGCCAGACCAAAATATTTAAGAAGAGAAACTGGCCTCTGTGTACATGTAAATAAAATTTTAAAAGGAGAAGTAAATAAATAGAAAAGTGGGGAAAAAAGGAGAAACTCTAGCAATAATAGCTAGTGTCTCCTGTGTGAGGCACTGAGCTAGACATCTTGTGCTTCATCTCATACATGAGGAGGAGGAATTCATGTTCCCATTTTACAGACAGGAAAATTGAAGCTCAGAAACTTGAAATCATTTGCCCAAGGTCACTCAGCTAATACATGACTGAGCCAGGACTTGAACCTAGGAATGTGTGACTCTAAAGATACGAAAAACTTTCTGGTATTTCGGTTCTTATTCACTTCCCCTGACACTGGTACCTCCATATTACAGAGGGGGAAGTGGGAGCCAAGTGGATAGCCACCAGGATGGAATTCAGGTTTTCTGAAACCCATCCAGGGCTCTCAACAGGCCATAAGCTGCGCCCAGAGAAGGCTAGAGGAGTAGAACTGGCTGGTGGCATATTGACCTCCTCTCTGCCTCACCTTACACTCCCATGGCCCATGTGTGCTCAGCAGTCTTACAGCAGTGTTATCCCCTAGAGTGACTGCACCAAGCTCTTCAGCCAGGGCATTGGAGGGGAGCAGGCCAAGGCCAAGTTTGACAGCTGCCTTTCTGACTTGGCTGCCGTGTCCAGCAAATTCCGAGACCTCTTGCAGGTAAGCCCCAGGTTCAACTGCTAACTGAATCCTGTGCCTGTGCATTGCTCTAAGAAGAGTGTTAGCTGGCTCATCGTGTGCAAAGAAGCCAGGAGGACAGGTGAGGGGGAAGCCAGCAAGCCCTGGAGTTTGGAGTTGTACAGGTCCCTTGAGACTAAAGGCCCTGTTGGTTTTTCATCAGTGAAGCTGTCACACTGACAAGCCAACATCTGGTTCCTCTAGACTTTCCGCTTGGCCCCACAATGTCAAGAGCCCTTAGAAGATGCTCAGAGGAAGTGGAGCCACATGGTTCTGACCTGTGGCCATAGCCTAGCACTGGGCACTCTGAAATCTCTCTTAAGAGTTTACCAAAACAGCCTCAAGGCCTTATCTCCACCCTGGACCTGAATCAGCTGAGATCTAGAGAGGGGCATGTTGCTGGTTCCTCCGTTCATTAGCTCTAGCTCTGTTACAACCTCCAACAGGGCTTGCAGAAAGCCTCAGGGCTGGAAGAACACCTTGCAGTCAAGGGATGGGTAGAAGAGAGAGGGAAGGGATGGGTTGTGCCTGCTGTGTCTGACATGTCTCCACCTTGTCCTTGTGCAGGAAGGGCTCACGGAGCTTAACAGCACAGCCATCAAGCCACAGGTGCAGCCTTGGATTAACAGCTTTTTCTCTGTCTCCCACAACATCGAGGAGGTCAGCCTGGCCACAAGCAGCCATCAAGCCCCGATGACACCTCACCCCCATCTCCAGCTGGAGGGAATGGAGCCGTGAACAGACTAGACCTTCCAGGCTTCCCAGGCCCACTTCCCCGCCCCTCACCCTTGAACACTAGGTTCCTCCCAGGAAGCAATTTGTCTCTAGTCAGAAGAGCTCAGAAAGATAAGGCGTTTGCCTTGACCTAACTCATTCCCTTGTATTGAAGCTCTTTTTGTCCTACTTATGATAGACTTAGGAGCATTTTTTCCTCCTGGCCTAGTGATTTCATTCCTATAGAACATGAGATCCAAGAAGGAATAAAATGCCAGGAACTTCACCCGTTATGTGGGCCACTGCTACAGCCTTGAGCTGTTTGCTGGTCAGTTTCTGCCAGCCTGAGTGTCTGAGCTGGTTTTAAACTGAATGAGTCAGAAGGCACAGGGAAGGAAGAACATCTTACCTTATTTTCTTAATGGGGTAGAGGTGGGTGGCAGCAAATGGTACTTCTTAGAGGCCCATGGTGACCAGCCCTGCTTCCTGATAACAGGAGGAATTCAATGACTATGAGGCCAACGACCCTTGGGTACAACAGTTCATCCTTAACTTGGAGCAGCAAATGGCAGAGTTCAAGGTGAGCAGGGGCTCTAGGGATCCACTTAGGGAATTACCCACCTCTGCCCAAACCAGCAGCCCTCAGGGTCTCATCACATTCCTTCTGGAGACCCTGAAAGCCCTTCCAACCCTAACCTATAGAAACACTCCCGTGGCCTCACATGACTGTCCTCACCCCCAAAGACTCCAGTGGAGAGGCAAAGGGGTTAGATGGGGCTCGGCTGATGTCAAGCCTCTGTGTGCAGGCCAGCCTGTCCCCAGTCATCTACGACAGCCTAACCGGCCTCATGACCAGCCTTGTTGCCGTGGAGTTGGAGAAAGTGGTGCTGAAATCCACCTTTAACCGGGTAAGGTGAAGGGGTCATGGGTCTGCAGCTCTCGTTTCTCCTCTGAGGAAGACAAGTCATGCCACCACCCAGGATTTGTGTTCCCCCTGTCTGCTGCCCACAGGCCCTGCATGTCTGGGTCCAGTCCTGCCCTGGCTTCTGAGGCTTTAGAGCAAACTGGAGCCACAAGGTACCACCTCAGACCTGGCCGGCCTTGCCACCCAGCTCTGGGGGCAATTGGAGGCCAGTTCTGCTTGGCCAGGCCTAAGTAGTGACTGGGCTTGGGTTCTCCTGCAGCTGGGCGGTCTGCAATTTGACAAGGAGCTGAGGTCACTCATTGCCTACCTTACCACGGTGACCACCTGGACCATCCGAGACAAGTTTGCCCGGCTCTCTCAGATGGCCACCATCCTCAATCTGGAGCGGGTAGGTGGGGCGTCCTTGGCGCAGCCAGAGAGGGGTGACTGAAAGAGGCAAAGATGGATCCCTGCCACTTCCCTCTAAATCATGTGTCTGCCAGCAGCCAGCCCTGCAGGACACCTTCCCTTCCCCTTCTTGAGTGCTCCTGTTCTGCCCCTGGTGGAGGCCAGAGCCTTCTTTCAGAATAGCCCCACCTTGCTGACTGGTTTCTCTGTCCTTCCCCACAGGTGACCGAGATCCTCGATTACTGGGGACCCAACTCCGGCCCGTTGACGTGGCGCCTCACCCCTGCTGAAGTGCGCCAGGTGCTGGCCCTGCGCATAGACTTCCGCAGTGAAGACATCAAGAGGCTGCGCCTGTAGCTGCCTGGATGCGCACACCAGCTCATTACAGTTCTCAGTCTGTTCCCTAAGGCCCAGCCAAGGAGCTGAGTGAGGCTGTTTGCCTTGGAGGAGCTCTGACAGCCCAGACCTTTCCACAGCTGGCAGCACAGACAGCCTGGACTCACTCCATGCTCTGCCCTCAGACCTAGCCTGGTGAGGCATTGGGGGCAGCCTTTCCCCACCTAGAGAATTGGGCTCCTAATGAGGTGAGAAACTCATGGCAGGCAGAGGGGCAGCCCAGGCCGGCTTTCTGCACGGGTGGTCAGTCTTTTGCCCTCAAACGCTACAGCAAACAAGCTGCCCCTGCCAGCCTTAGACGACTTGGGTACATCTGGGGACCTAGCAATTAGGCTTGACTTCGAGGCAAGGCTGTGATGTTTATGATCCCTGAATAAAGCTACTCCTTGAAGAGATGCCAATGTGCTGTTTCCAGGGAGGGCCAGATCCTATGGGCATGGCAGGTCTACCAGTAGCACTGAAATAGGAAGGCAAACCCAAGACTTCAGCCTCCTCCCCACACACAGCACAGTGCACAGCTGTGTCCAGGGCCCACATGATGGCAGGAGCCCCCATCCAGTCCCAGATCCTCATGGCCCTCTTGGGCCCTCAATACCACAAGCTGGATCATCCCAGAGGCAGTTCCCCATGGTGCTAGGAAAAGAGGGAACTGCTCCCAGCAAGAGCGAAAGTGACTTTACGAGGACCACCTACAAGGACAGAGTGAATTTATTCCAAGAATGCCAGTCCTGAGAACCCACTTCCCACAGGCACCAGGTCACTTGGCACGGTCTGTAGTGTTGCTGGTTAAGGCCTGGGATGGCAGTGAATCGCTGGGTCACTGCCACCAACTTGGCAAGGGACCACCACCCTCACTCCCACTCGCCCATGAGGGTTGAGTGTGAAGTCTCTACAACTCTAAGGAAGGCCATAGGAAATGCCTCGAAGGGCCTCTTCAGGGTTGGCCTTGCCAAGGGACTTCCAGCCATATGCCAAGGCTGGTGGTCAACCCTTTCCCAGGCCCTCGTGGAATGAGAAGGCCACCCATGGGATTTGTAAAGGCCACATGGGACACTAAGCTTGGGACCTTCTTATGTGCAGGAGGAACAGGCTACACCTAGGCCACTGTCAGCCAGGTCACAGTCTTATCCCAAGCACTCTCTGCTTGCCCAGGTCTTGCTTCAGTCAGCTTCCTTTGGGAGCGGATTCGCAGAGGTGGGTGGGGAGTGGGAGGTGGAGGTTCTCGTGGGGTAAGGAAGGTGGGGGACACTGTAGCTCCAGGTTTTCTCTTGCAGTGAGAAGCCAGCTTCATGGGAAAGGGCAACAGGTTGAGGCCTCGGTCCCCAGCAGCTTCAGGCTCAGGCCCTGAGTATCCACTTCAACCAGGTGGATGCTGTAATTCCCAAGGCCCTGGACAGGAGAACAAGTATTTAGAAGGTTCTGGAGAAAGATCAGGCCATCTGGAGGCTGGACTGAGGCTACAGGACCAGGGAGACTTGCAGATATAGCCCCTGGTTAATTAGTGGGCCACAGTGAGGTCTCTTGCCCTCACAGGTCTCTGGACCAACCCCAGCCCCATCAGTAGTACCTCGGTCTTGGCCAGCACGGCCTCCAAGGCCTCCTTTTGCTGTGGCTCCTTAGTCAACAGATAGAGAAAGCCTCCACCACCTGCCCCAGCCAGGCTCTGGCCATGCACGTGGGGGGCCAGGACATCCATCATACGCCGCACAGCCAGGGGCTCACAGCCTGGAGCCATGAGCTTCTTCTGCTCCCAGTATGCAGTCAGGCACTGCCCCAGCAGAGGCAGGCTTCCTGAGGTGGGACAGAGGGAAGTGGCATGCCTGGGCCAAGATACTCACTCAGCACCCATCTGGAGATTGTATGAAGTGCCAAGAGGTGGTGCTGAGCCAGTGTCATGGTAAAGAAGCCGGGTTCCAGTGCTGGCTGGAGCCAGGAGAAGCAAACCTACTTCCTAGAACTGCCTGAGGACCAATGTGCAGGAAGCAAACACCACCATGCCCAGCATCATCAGCACCCAGGGACCTGTGCAGCCACACACCGAGGGCCCTGCCTAGCTCACACTTCCCTGGAACTCAGCCATGGGGTGAGTCCCTTCCCCTATCTGCTTCCTGTTAGGTGAGGCTAGAGGGCCTTTCCCATGATGAAAATTTTGTCCTTAGATGTGGCTTCCCCCTAAATGTGAGACCCTGGAGAGGACAGACAGTAGGCTTCTGTTCCCAGAGGCCGAGTATCTGGAGCTTATGCCAAGCCTGCAAATGACCCTGGCCTCAAACCCACAAGTGACAGGGTACTGGCTCCTGGTGCCCTGATTCCCCTGGAAGAAGCCCCTCACCTTGGCGGAAGGCTTCAGCACACTCCTCGGTTTGCTGTACCAGGCTGTGGGCATTCTCCACCACGGCAGGTAGTCGGGCATACCAGCTCCTCAGCACATCCTGCAGACAAGGCAGAAGGGGCAGTGAGGACCCAGGCCCAGCCGGCGGCATCCCTCCCTACCTCCCTCATGGTGGGGCTGGGGCTCACCTGCAGCAGATTTCGAGCCAGGCGGGTCTTGCCAGTGTACACCAAGAGCAGGTGGTCATTGAGCTTCTGGACAAAGCCCTCAGGCACCGTGACCTCTTCCACCTCCACTTTCAGCGGCAGCTGAGCCCGGGAGCGCCCCACCTTGATGCCAGGCATTAGGCCACCCACTTGATCCTGCCAGCCACCTCCTGTGAGCCCAGGGCGTATCACTGTTGGAGTCTACCTGGCCCAGCTTCACTCTCCCAGCCTAGGCTCCTGGCCCTGCACCCCTGGCTGGGATCAGTGTGGAAAGAGCTTCTCTCAACTCCATGGGACAGTGAGCTACACAGCTCTGTCCCTAGGACAATCCCAGCAAAGGAATGGGCTTCACACCAGAGCAAAGCTTGGAATTCCCAAGGCCTGAGTTTTGTTGTAGACCTAATGTGTAATTGAAATTCGGATAAACTACATTGAAGGATAAAGGCTTTACACTATGGTCGGGTGCAGTGGCTTAGCCTATAATCACAGCACTTTGGGAGGCTAAGGCAGGCAGATCACTTGAGGTCAGGAGTTCTAGACCAGCCTGGCCAACATGGTGAAATTCCATCTCTACCAAAATTACAAAAATTAGCCAGGCATGGTGGCACACGCCCTGTAATCCCAGCTACTGGGGAGACTGAGGCAGAGGTTGCAGTGAGCTGAGATCATACCACTGCACTCCAGCCTCAGTGACAGTGTGAGACTCTGTCTCAAAAAAAAAAAAAAAATATTTTACACTAACCTCTGCCGCTCCTAGGGAAGTTTTAGAGGAGAGGCTGACAGGTACCTTCCGTGCAGCCTGAGTCTCCCTGCACCCTGTCTTCTTACAAGTGGTTTATGTAGGAAAGAAGCTCACTGGGATCTATTTTTCTCTTATGTAACTTATTAGACATCTTTCCATCTTCAGTAATGAAAGTATGTATCATTTTCCCCCTTGTAGCTATACAAAAATAAAACTAGGCCGGGCACAGTGGCTCACACTTGTAATCCCAGCACTTTGGGAGGCTAAGGTGGGCAGATCATGAGCTCAGGAGTTCGAGACCATCCTGGCCAGCACAGTGAAACCCCACGTCTACTAAAAATACAAAAAAAAAAAAAAAGCTGGGCATGGTGGCTGGTGCCTGTAATCCCAGCTACTCAGGCGGCTGAGGCAAGAGAATCGCTTAAACCTGGAAGGTGGAGGCTGCAGTGAGCTGAGATCATGCCACTGTACTCCAGCCTGGGTGACAGAGCTAGACTCCATCTCAAAAACAAAAAATAAAAAACTTGAGCTGCTTCTGAGACAGATCATTGATATTTAGGGAAGGGCCTGTAAGGGTTTAAAGTATGAAATGCAAAAGGCAGGAGCCATCTGGAACTTTGCAGCCAAAACCTAGTGGCTGCAAAGTAGCTGTTAAGTCTTGAAATGTCAAGACTTAACGGTTCCCCTCTGCTTCAGAGCACTTGGCACAGTTTGTAATACACATGCACCTGAGTGGTTACTGATGGACGTCTGTCTCCAGGAGACCACAGGACTTTCGAGGGCAGGAACCCATTTTTGCTCATTTTATCCTCGGGGACCCACAGAGTGGGTTCTCAATAAATAGTTGTCCATTGGCCAAATGTAGAACTTGAATGGTACACCTCAAAAAAAAACTGAAAGGCTTCCCCATCTGCTCCCTTCACTAATGACTACCTATGATGGTATGTGAGCAAAATGAGAGGCCTGAGCTGCGGTGACAGAAGACACCACAGTCAGGCTCCAGTAGGCCTTTGCAGCAGTTTCCTTCCAAGGGTGTGCTAGAGATGGGGCCTGACACCCTGAGGTGCACCTGGAACCATACAAGCCTGTGGCTGCTCTACATTGGCCATGGGTTCCAGGGGGCTCTGTGGCCAGGAGGAACGGGAAGCCTGGCACTGGTGAGATCAGTGAAGCCTGACATTCATGAGATCATAGTCACTGCTGGGCTCTTGCTGCCCCACCATATGGCCAGGAGGTGGGGGCAGGGGCACAGGTGATTGTATCTCAAATAAGGACATGCCAGAAGGGCAGGTGGAAGGTCCAAACCAGCTTGCCCAGCCCCACCCAAGCACAGCCCTGGATAGGCACAGTCACGAAGCACAGTACCTGGTCCCAACAAGCATGAAAGGCACAGCACAGAATCTGGCACTCAGTAGGTGCTCGTGAAACACCTCACTGGAGGTAGAATATTTCAAGTTGATAACCACCAGAGGTGGTCAAAGGGACAAGAAAGAAACTTGTGAAGAGTAGCACAGTCATGTGGCTGTTGGCCAATCACATATAAATCCAGGAGAGCTCCACTCCCCACCACAGGCCCTAGGGAAAGTGTCAGTGACCTCCCCCAACTCCGAGGCAGTCACATACCGGTGGTGAGCACCTGCTCCAGGTGCAGCACTGCGTGGATCAGGGCCTCCGTGCCCACCACCCGGCCCGCGGCTCGCTGCAAGGCAGCCAGGGCGGTGCCTGCCAGGATGCTGCTGGTGCCTGCAGAGCACAGAGGAGAAAGCAGGCATGAAACGCCTCCACCCTGTCTAGTCCCGCCCGACTCCCTCTCAGGGCAGAGGCCAGTGAGGGGATCACAGGCAAGGCTGGAGTGCTGTGACAGTCGGTGGGCAACAGGAGGGAGGGCCCGCTCACCTAGGCCAGAGCCGTGGGGAAGCTCAGACCAGGTATGCAGCTCAAAGCCGCCCCCGAAGGTGCGGAGCAGCTGCTTACGCAGCTGGAGCTCAGAGTGAACATCCACAATCCCCGCGCAGATGAAGGCTGCCTTCAGCAGAGCCCCTGCAGAGGGACAGGCATGAGGAAGGAATTCGGTCTCCAAGGGCAGATGCAGACACCCCACCCACCCTTGTGATT